CTCTCCTTTTCCTTGTAATAAACTCCCTGAGAAACGAGCATCCGCTGTGTGATCCTGTTTCTATCGGTGAAGCAATGCGCTTAGTTACAGTAGACTCAGAATCTTCGATGTTTTACAGATTCGTGTTAGTAACTTGACATCGAGTATGTATTTAGATATATATGTATGTACTAATACGACGTTAAACGATTTGAAAATATTGTAGATATATTTCATTCATTTCTCTTTTTTTTTTTTTTGATTTGTTTTTAATAACTCCGTTAATTTCGAGACAAAGATATATCAAAGGTATAAACGATTTAATTATCATAAACCCATAATTACACGTGTTCCATGAAAATGCAAAGATACATTCTCAAATACGTTCTTTCTTGTCCCTTAAGTATTTATTCAGGTTCGTCCTCAGGGTCGAACAGATCGATCGACCGATTGTCGTCCACTTTTTCTCTCCTTTTCCCCTTCCCATCATTTTACTTCTTACTTCTTATTTCTTTTTCATTTTCTTCTTCTTTTTTTTTTCTCTCTCTCCTTTTACCCTCCGCGTTCCATTGCTCTTACTTTCAGTAATTGTGGATAAACTAGTCCGACGAGTAGTAGTACCATCCGCGGCACATCGTTTATAGCCTCGCGTTAGAGACTATGAAAAAGCTGTGCGCCGGTAACTCTTCTCTACGTTCCAACGAAAACCTATCAAATTATTACGAAGGAATGAAATCGGAAGAAAAAAGGAAAAAAAAGAAAAAAAAATTGAGAAGTCAAGAAAAAAAAAAAAAAAAAAAAAAAAGAGAGAAGACAAGAAAAGAAATTTATTTGTACCTATTAAAAAAAAATGATAGTGCTTTAACAAAAATTTATTGAATTTTCTTTTGAATTAAATCGTGACATTAACCGAGAGAATCCAGGCAATTCGTTGCGTTGCCAGAAAAGGTCCTCTTAATTCGGTGGACCATTAGTAGGACGATTAATAAACGTATAAAAGTTGTTCGCCAAGTTGAACAGAGAGAGAGAGAGAGACATTTGTGCGGTGTCGCGCGGCGAATCGAGTTGCTTCCGCGTATATAAGTCTCGAGTATGTTACATTATTCTCGTCATAAAGCACTTTCGCGATGCCGAAGCTAATGGCCTTTTCGAGAATAGTCTAGCTGTTACCACGCTTTGTGATCCACATAGTTGGATATGCTCGGTAACGCGACATAAATGCTTCGAATTTTTTCCTTTTTCTTATACTTTTTCTTTTTTTTTTGCTTTGTTTTGTTTTGTTTCGTTTCGTTTTGTTTTCTCGTTTTTTTTCTTCTTTCTTTTCGTTTATTTTCTTTTCCTTTTTTTCTTTTTTTTTCTTTTTTTTTTTGATATCTTCTTTTTTTCCATTCACAACGTTCTTTCGCGCGCTTCCCTTGAAAAGAAATTTATAATGAAGTTTTGAGGAAAGATAAATGAAACAATATGTGAGAACATTCCGTCGCTGAATTTTATGAATCGAATTATATCAAACGTTTTTTCTTTTTCTTTTTCTTCTTCTTTTTTTTTTTTTTTTTTTTTTTTTTTTTCTTTTTCTTTTCTTTTCTTTTAATAGAACACAGTCATTCAGTTTCAAGAACTATTTAAATATTTCTTGGATCCATTGAAAGATCTATCCTAATACGATATAATTGCCTCATTGTATTCCATTTTTCGATCGTATAATCGCATTGACGTATTTCTCTTAACGAGAAAGAGAGAGAGAGAGAGAGAGAGAGAGAGAGAGAACCGCATATGGGTTTCTATTTGCCGATGATTCGACGAGATTTTATTCCGGAGCGTGTCAAGGGAGCATCGATATCGAATGTCGACGGTAATGGTGGCTCTAATGGCGGCTCTAATGGCATTTTCTCTGACTCGCCAACAACGCGTAGACCAAGTGCAGCTTGTCCTTCGACGAGAAACGCATAAACGACTCCTTTGTACGACGATCCTCATTGCGAAGAAGTCCACCTATGTGTATACGTATATACATTATTCTATGTATGTATATGGATTTACCAGAACGTTATTCCCATGAAACCTACCTTCGGAATAATGTCTCGTGCGAAAATGAGATTACTATAAAAAATGAAAACATAGTGGCGTCTCCTTTCGATATCTTCGTTCGATCATATCTCACAATTATCGAAGCTATTATTCCAAGATAATTGCTTCTTCGTGATAATTACGCAACAATTCAGGAATAATATACGATGATTATGTTAGCTTAATTCGATCGTATTATAAAGAGATGACGATGATACTTTCAGCAAAGTATGCACTACGTGCATACGTGTCTAAAAGACACTTTAAAGAGAAAGAAAAAGAAAAGAAAAAAAAAATGAAAACGCAAGAGAAAGAGAAAACCATCGATCATAAGTTCTATAAATATATTACATTAACGAAGTAACGTTTCGTCGCGAATAAAACGAGACAACTATAATGGAAATAAATATACATAAAGATAGTCCTTCGAAATCTTCCAATTTTGTTTCCAAGAAATTTTACAAGGTAATAATCATATAATCGGACGATTTATCGCGATGGGAGATCGATCGATCGATCTTCGTTATAGATACATACCGATCGAGGCAGTTCCGATCCACGCCCATCGCACACCTTCTGTCGTACAAATGCGTCCCGTTAATTACGATGAGCCAGCGAACGAAGGAAAGTAGAACGAAGGCGCGTTCCTACGTGTATTCGAGAATGAACGAGAAGGATAGAAAGATACACAGAGAGAGAAAGAGAAAGAGAAAAAAAAAACAAAGTTTTCTTTGAAGCTCGCCTTTAGGCTTTTCGACGATCTTCGATGCCAAGCGTTGGTTAGCAACGGTTCTTTCCTCTATCCTCTGACCATCTTGATGACCGGTACGGCACGTGCTGCTGAGTACGCGAGCGAGACGGAAAAATAAGACAAAAAGAAGAAAAAGAGAAGGAAGAAAAAGAAGAAGGAGGAGGAAGAGGAAGAGGAGGAAGGAGATAAAAAAAAATAATAATAAAAATGAAAATACTCTCTTCTTAGTACTTTTCATCGAATCACGACGATCATGGATAAACTCGATAACGGTGTTGTTCCATTAAATCCACTATGATATTTCTGATACGATTGACCTCCTAAGTATCTAACCAATGTTCTAATCTTTTTCTCTCTCTTTCTCTCTCTGTCTCTCTCTCTGTCTGTTTCTATCTGATCAATACGGTGAATTGGATCTATCGATCGTATTCCATATAGTAGGCTATTAGCTTTTCACGGAATGTTCTTTAACATTCTCTCAGCAACCATACATTCCAACGAATCAACGAATCGTGAAGACGAGGTCAAGTTTAAGAGGATTCTTTCGAAGATAAAACCATTTATCTATCTATCTTCATGACGTATAAATACCTTTCAACGACCAAATCGTATTCGATTAATAAATCTTGTCTATCAAGGTTTTACGTACATCGCGTTTAATAGTTTCAACATTATTATCGTTATTATTATTATTATTATTATTATTATTATTATTATTATTATTATTATTATTATATTCTTTATGTTTGTTTCGTTATGAAATTGATCATCTTGAAGGAAGTCAATGATCTTTGGTAGACGGCCATTGACTCGTGCGAATATTAATTCTTTAAAACGCGTTCGCTCGCACGCGCGCTTGTCTCTCTCTCTCTCTCTCTCTCTCTCTCTCTCTTTCTCTCTTTCCACCTATCTTTCTCTTTTTTTGGATGGACCCTTTGGAGGATGGTCACTTACGTCACTCGAGCACGTAATACAATAAATACGAAGATGTTACACTGGTGCTTCTTATAAAAAAAAGTGAAAAAAATAAGGAATGAAAAAATACGAGCGTATCGATCTTGCGGCCTTGTACAAGATCGTTATTCTCTCTCTCTCTCTCTCTCTCTCTCTCTCACTCATCTCACAATATTTATGTTACGTCGGTCAATCGATTTTATAATGAATATTTTTTCTTTCTTTTTTTTCTGTATCGAACACGTTTCTAAAATATCTTTCTTTAATGGACAGGAGACCGTTTCCAAGTTATATTCAAAGGCCTTCTTTCTAAGAAACTTTTATTCGAATAGATCCACTCTATGATTTCACGGAGCGCGGTGCGTTTATAATCTTACAGCATCGCGGAAGAGCGTGACAAATATCACTCCGGCATACTCCGGTTCCGTAATATTCGTAATCTCGATTGAAACGAACGAGATTACACCTTATTTCTTAGGACATCGACTTTAACCGGATAATCAGACCTTGACGACCTTAGGTCATTATCACGAGGAATTATTATTTTATCTCAGATATTATTTTCATATTGTTCTTGTATTGAAGAGAATAATTAATAATTTTTTTTTATTTAAAAAAAAAAAAAGAATAGCAAGTTCTAATCGAATAAATTTTCTTCTTTTTTTTTTATCGTGCGGTACATCTAAATCAATACTTTGTTCAATCTCCGAACTCGCCTTGAATATAATCATACATATTTACGCATAGCGTTAACAAATCAATTCTTTGAAACATCTTATTGAGCAATGATGTCGCGTGATCAGAGAGAGAGAGAGAGACCATTATTTTCTCAAAGATCCGTCGAATGTGACGCGTTCATAAGTTTGACTGAATTTCTTTTTCCTTCATTTTTTTCTCCTTATTTTCACGCATTCCACTAACGCAAGCAGTTGGTACCGTTAACGGGGAATTGCCATCCAAGGAGCTAAATTTATTACATGTACACGTTATTGGACATCGTATATCGCGACGCTTGGTTGGGTCTCTCTCTTTCTCCGAGAAGATGCATGTGAACGTAAGAAAAAAAAAAGAATAATAATAACGTAATGGCCGAGACAGGAAGGTATAGCCTCGTTTAAAGGGATCACGATCGATGGATCGCTTGATCGTATCGATCGATTCACTTTGATAAAGACGGCAATTCTCTTCACGTAAATTGTTCGACGATTTCGATCGTACCAAATTCTTACGAAATTATGTCATTTTACAGAGCGACTATTACTTTCCACCACGATCTACATGGTCAAGGGTACCAGCACATCCAACGAAAAAACAAAATGGCAATACGACGTGGAAAATCGGTAGCGCGATGCTGATAATATCGGCGATGCTCGTATTAATCGCTGTACTTGCGATCGCTGGACTTGCACTCTGGTTGGGTGGTAAGTTTTCCTTCATATCGTCGTTATTTTGTTATTTTCTATTTTTCTTTTTTAATTCTTTACGTAATAAACGTAAACGAAAGAGACGAAAATTAAAACGTTCGTGTTTCAGCATTGAGGAACGATTCCAAAAATGGTTAGTATCTTTATTTAAATATGATCCGTTAGAAATCGCAAAAGGAATCTTATCAAGGATAAAATATTTTCTTTTATTCATTTTCAGCGATCGTTGGATTCTATTGCAATTTCAGAGTAATTAAGGGAGAAAGGTATAATCCGATGTTGAAGTTGAACACGAGTATGGTGTTTCGAGATAAAGAAAGAAAGTACAAAAATATTGTAAGATATTAGAATTTCAATAGAAATATAAATATAATTATGTAAACGTTTATTGATCAGTTAAGTACGAGCTATTGTCATTGTTATTTCAGTTCGAATTGTTGTTCAGAAGAAGCGTTTTGAGTCCAGCTTACAAGCAAACGATTATAGACAAATTTGAGAATGGTACATTTAAGGTCTTCTTTAGGCTATACTTAGACAGAAGGAAGATACCGAGATCCATCACGAATATCGAAGATACGATAGAGGATATAATAGCTAAGGAAACTTATTCGTTGTCCTCTTTATTCAAGGATCTGGAATTAGATCTCGCCAGTATAAACATCAAACGTAAGCAACTACATAGATAAACAATTTTAATATGTCATTCGATTATTGTTATCGAAATCTTGCATTTAATTTACGTAGGAATAAGTCAGGAGATAGCGACGAATCAGAAACAGACGAATCAACAGAGAAATGCTATGATAACGAAAAATGGTCTCCTTCGACCAAATAGAACGAGTCCTCTTATAACGGGCACCAAACCAAAGTCTAAACCAACGAAGATAGAATCTAGCGAACCTGAAATCGATTTCAATAATATTCCAACGATTCAAGGAACTTATAAGGCGACGAAGATCAACGAAACTATGAAGAATTCTACTAAAATAGATGTTAAGATCGAGTCCAATGTTAAAAACTTTAGTAAGATTTCGCAGTTGGACGAAGTTTTAAAGAGTACTGTTTCGAAGATCGAGGATACTACGAAATTAGAATTAACTTCTGCACAACCAATTTCTACCACGACGAAGGACACAACAACGAATAGGATCGATGTAACGACCGAGACCATTGATCACCAAAAGGAAATTACTTTATCTTCCATCAAAGTATCGTCCACTACTACGAGTAGTACAAACAGCGTGATCTTTAATGATTTTCACAAGCCAGATTTTGAAACGTCACCTTGGAAACCAATAGTTCCTGGATACGTTAATACTGAACTGAAATTATTACCGGAAACCACAGTATCGTCAGGTAACATTGATGTCGATTCGAATGTCAAAAATTCAACGTACAATATTCAGGATAAGGTCAATCCAAAATTACCCAATCGAATTCCTGAAAGTTTAGATCCTTTGAATACGCGCATGGATGTACCAGGTATGAGCACATTGGACGAGGAAGATACTGATTTTCCGCACGACAGAATCGTACCCGAAGATATGGTGAATTTTAGAGTAAACGGTAAATTCAAGAACAAGATTCCAGGATTGATGGACGATGGTAACGTGTTTACAGCACCAACACCTGCGGCTGAAACTTTCAACAGGCCGAGCATCGAAGTGTCCGGTCAATTACCATCCGAAACTTATGATCTACGATTGAGTACTTCTTCGGAATTAACCAAAGCTGATGGTGCGAAACAACATTATTATCAGACGATCGATCAAACCAGAACGAAAATCGAACTGGCGAACTCGACGAACGAGCCAAAGGAAAATTCTTCATCGACAATGAGTTCCATCGCTTCAAGATGGAATCTCCAAACAGTCAAATCTAAGCCTTCTTTGATAGAGGAATCAGATCCGGAATCAGTGTCCGGAATCGGTATCGCCGAACCTGTTCCCGATGTAGAAGAAAATCTAGAAACGAGAAGTCGATTAAGTGGAATCGAGGCACTCGACAAAGAACAAAACGACGCTTTACGCGACAGAAAGGTCGATCAGAGACCGATTTATACGAGCTACCGAAGTCCTGATCTAAGTGGTAGCGCGGTTAGGCCCAGTCTCATAGAAAATCCTGGAACTTTAAAACCCTTTCGACATACCATTCCTGTTGACAAAATTACATCGGCAATTGTTTCAGAAGATGATAACAAAAGGCTCCCATTGATACCACCCAATCAGAATACAAAAATTTCATCGTCCGTCAATAACAATGATAACAAACATATCGAAAAGGCAGAGATAAAGGATAAGTGGATAACGTCGATGAATATTAAAGAAGCCACTGAAATGATTAACGCCGATCGAAAAAATACAAGTTCAGAGTCATCCGTTAAAATCGCTAATATCGAATTGGCCGAATCAACGAAACCAACGAAATTGAACGGCGAAGAAATGATAGACGACGAGAAGATTCTTAAACTAAGTACGACCGAAATTTATTCGGAACTGTTACATCCATCTTATAACAATGGACAGAAATTGATCATGAAGGACGAAGAAAATAAAGAAGTTATATCGGAAAAGCTAACGTCCAACGTTTCGAGAAATTCTACCTTTATCGAAGTGGATACTCTACAACATGTACCCAATCAAACGGATGAAGAAAGTACGAATGATTTTGATAGTAAAAATTCAGCAAATAGGGGAGAAAATGTTTCGATTAATCCTCACTTGACAACTACACCAGGTACACGTAAAAAAATCTACAATGACACGTTGAAGGCCTACGTTGTTGAAAATTTGGTGACCTTAGCACCTGTTAAAAGTAACACTGGAGTTGGTAGGCCCATCAGACCAAGACCTAAAATTGAAACTGAGAAAGTCACGAAATCTTCGGAAAAAACATCAGCGAATAAGAATTCCGTAGAACGATTAGACGAAACAGCGTTACTGGAACAATTGTTTGGTCTTCAGGGTTTAGAAAGGGATAACAACAAACGTAATTCCAATCTTTCCAAAGGAAAACTCGTCGATGGTATAGAATCGAATAATGCGACAAATTCTTCCGATAACAAACATACTCACATCGAACAAATCGTCGAAGTTGTAACTTCTGTTAGTACAAAAATATCGTCCAAACAAAATCCTGATCGAGTTGTTCTCAGATTCGTCGTAACTAATTCAACTTCTCCTCCTATTATTCATTCCGACTCTAATACGAAATTGGAAAAGCATTCGTTAGAAAATACGGAAGAAAAACGTTCGTTCAAGGAAGAAAAACTAAACGCCGATCCGATAAAGATACAAACTTCTGATAGAAAAATTTCGACGTTAGAAGAGAATCGATTTCTTTTGGACAAATTGAAGCAATTAGCGGAAGTAAGAACACATGACAAACCTATCGTGACGATTCACAAAAATTCATCGAACGTTTCCTTAGATAATTTGAATTCTAAAATTAAAGAAGGATCATCACTATCGAATGATCAAAGATTCTTACAAAATTTTGATGAATTGAAAAAGATCGCGGACGTAGCGATGGGAAATGAAACGCTAAAAAATGGTAGTGCTCTGTTCACATTGAGTCGAGACGGCGTAAGGATTCTCACGAAGATAATGAACAAAGTTGAAGATGATTTAAACCATCAAGCAAATCAGACGAACGAAGAAAGTCCTATATTTATGCCTGGTAATAACTGATAGAAACTATTTTGGGATTATTTAAAAATATCGATCCTGGATCATCCGAATCATTGATGAAGATCGTATATTTTTCACAGATAACTGTCAAGGGGGGGGCTTCCAGTGCAACGACGGCAAATGTTTGCCATCCAGTGCAAGATGCAATATGCTTGGCGAATGTTCGAATTCGGAAGACGAGGCCAGCTGTACGTGCGCGGACTTTTTAAAGGCACAACTTCTACAACAAAAGATATGCGATGGTACAGCGGATTGTTGGGATTATTCTGACGAAACAGATTGTGGTGATTAACTAATCGATATCATCTCAAAATAATTGCATTGCATTCGCCTAAATCAAGACTTAAAAAATACTGTCTCATTTCCATGTTGACAGATTGGTGTGTCGAGGGTCAGTTCGTTTGCGGTAACAGCAGGTACTGTGTGGATCAGAGCAAGGTTTGCGATGGTTTCCGAGACTGTCCTACTGGAGAGGATGAAAAGAAATGTGCCGCACTGATCGAGGAATACGTTGAAGATTATAAAAAAGTTGCTGACGAGTTAAAAAATAAAAGCATAATTTTGGAAAGTAAAAATGAAAGTGACGATGTCTTCGCAAAGTCGGAAGATTATTCGTACGATTCGGAGAACAATCGAGATGTACCGTTCGATCAAGAAGCAGTTGAATCCACCTTATCAAAAACAACCACCCTTCCTGATTCCTTTGACTTTCCATCGAGCAGAGAAACCTATGGGTCCGTCGTAGAAACGACCATTTTACCGGATGAACCAACGAATTCTCCGAATCTCGTATCAGGAAGAGAAATATCTTTGAATTTGAGAAACAGTCTCGTTGATAGAACGTCTTTTCACGCGAAAGAAGATTCTCTGATAACCTCCACGCAAGGATTTAAAAAAGAACTGAATGGTTACAATGACAAAGGTTATCTAAATATAAGAAAAAATGGAAAGTGGGGGAAACTTTGCTTAAATTCTACGAACAATTTTCGTCAGGAAAAACAGACTACTTGGAGCATCGAGGATCTTGGTAGAGCAGTCTGCAAAGCAATCACGTATCAGTAAGTTATAATTTGACTTTTTTTTTTTTTCCTTTTCTTTTTCTCTTTCTAACATGAGAACTTTAAAAGAGAAACAAGGAAATTTTTTCTGTCTTATCAGAGATTACGAGAGAGTCGAAAGAGTTCTGGATGAAAATCCATCGTCCGGCAATTCTTATTACGTACTCTCATTTAACGAGAAACCGTCCGACAAAACCGTGTTGACCTTCAAGCCGTCCAACTGTCCGAGCGGCCAAGTTCTCAAGGTCAAGTGCAAGAATCTCGAATGTGGAATAAGGACGCAGGCTCCGTCGCAGGCAAGGTATATCCATTGAACCAGTTTTTCAATAATTATATACCAAAAGAAGAAAGAAACTTTTACGTGTACATAGATCGTTAAATTTGAAATATGTGTTGTACAAAAATCGAGTTCTATGAATCAACTGGATTCACTGAAATAGATTGCACGTTTCTCGTCGTTCCAGGATCGTCGGGGGCGGCAGTTCATCGGCAGGAAGCTGGCCGTGGCAAGTAGCTCTCTACAAGGAAGGTGATTATCAATGCGGAGGAGCTCTTATCAATGACAAATGGATTCTCTCTGCAGCCCACTGCTTTTATCGGTAAGCCATGACAATTTCTCCTTACCTATCGTGATTTGTTGACCAATCGGGAACCAAAGTGCTTGCTACATTTTTCAACGAGATAATAAAATGGATAAGTTCGAAGCATTTCGTATTTATTCAGCCTCTTATAAAAGTAAGTAATGTCTTAGGACGATAAAAAAAAAAAAAAAAAAAAAGAAAGAAAGAAATGACGATACGAGCGATGAACTGAAAGAAAAATTTATCTTTTTTTCTCTCTTTGAAGCAACGCAAAAATTATATTATTTTAGTGCTCTCGACGAATATTGGGTTGCAAGGATAGGTGCTACTAGAAGAGGAAGCTTTCCAAGTCCACACGAGCAACTTTTACGACTGGATCATATCGTCCTTCATCCAGATTACATTGATAATGGATTCATTAACGACATAGCTCTTCTTAGACTCGAAAGATCGGTTACGTTCAGTGATTACGTCAGACCGGTATGTCTTCCGCAGAACGAACCAAAAAGTGGGACTACTTGCACTGTCACCGGTTGGGGACAATTGTTTGAGATAGGCAGAATATTTCGTACGTACTCATAATCTCGTATCTATACATCTATATGCAAGTCTTTTTGCGATGATATATATATATATATATATATATATTTTTTTTTTATTTTTTTTTTTCGTTCAATAGCTGATACTTTACAAGAAGTCCAACTGCCTCTGATATCAACGGAGGAATGCCGAAGGAAAACAATCTTCTTACCGTTGTATAGAATCACATCAGGAATGCTTTGTGCTGGATTAAAAGATGGCGGAAGGGATGCATGTTTGGGTGACAGTGGTGGTCCTTTGGTTTGTTCAGGATCTGACAATAAATATACCATTCATGGTAACACCTCAATACTCGCTTATACAAAACCTAATGATATTTTATAAGAATCTTAAGATGATTTCATTCTATTTATTTAGGTATCACTTCAAACGGATATGGTTGTGCCAGACCTGGAAGGCCTGGTGTTTATACGAAAGTTCATCATTATCTATCGTACATCGAACGTGTTATCATCTCGAAAAACGATGTACCATCCTCGATAGCCTCCTGTAAAGGACACAGATGTCCATTGGGCGAATGCTTACCCAAATCCCGAGTCTGCAATGGATTCCTCGAATGTTCCGACGGTAGCGACGAACGTGATTGCACGACAACTTTCCGATAAAAAGACTGACGATACTTAAATAATTTTAGAATTCCCATAGATCCTTTGGCGATTCGATTTCGTCGTTTTACAAATCGATAAGATCATTGTCGTTCAAACGCCAAAATCGATCGCGATGCATCTGAATGAAAATTGCAAAACGTATTTTTGTTGTATTTATTCGACGAAACGAGTTTGAGTAAATGCAACTTTTTTTTTTTTTTTAATGTAAAAAATATCACAAAAAAGAGACCAAACTTGGACTTCCAGGTGTCTACTTTGTAAGATATTAAAAGATAAGATGAGAGAGTGAGAGAGAGAGAGAGAGAGAGAAAAAAAGAAAGAAAATTTCTACTTACGAATTTCTTTTTTTTTTTGTTTCTTTTTTACTTCTCATCGATTCTCCATTAAATACAATTGCATTTAATCAAACGACTGAAAGTCGAGAGACTAGACGCGATTATTCTCGTCTCTTTTCTTTCAGGAACATAATCTCGATCGAAGAGAAGAACTTTCGTATTTCTAAACTAATTAAGAAAGTTTAGAGATAGCGTAGAGTCGTTGTCATCGAATCGATCTTATATTGACTTGACATTTGAATTAGTGACACTCGTTAAAAATCATTAAGTCATGTTATTCGAATGTTTCAGTCTCTAAGATTAATTTTTTTAAGATTTAGTTTTTGTATATATCGTATGTAGAGAAAGAGAGAGAGAGAGAGAAAATGATGTCTGTAAGGAATTAAAATAATATCAAATAATAATAATAATAATGATGATGATGATGATGATGATGATGATGATGATGATGATAATAATAATAAAAAAAAAAACATCACATAAAGAGAATAATACGGACGAATAAATGTTTTCTACGAAAGTCCTATTTTGATCAGACTTTTATTGCGATAAAACAGCGAAAATTTTTGCGAGCATTTACCTGAAAGAATATGCGAGAAAGAGTATCAAAGGTACTCGCGATAATATATCCGATCGACTTGGATAAGATATTTAAAGCAGAAATGCACTGCGTTTTTGCATATGTAAATTTTTAAATATTACAAGAGAGTTCACAAGAGATAGCGCGGATGTGTTTTTTGATTTTTTTTTTCGTACTCTTACAATTATTAACCCAGAAGAAATACGTAAAGTCACGACGTTTCAACGACGATCCGATATAGTTCTCTTTTTTTCTTCCTTTTATATATATATATATATATATTTTTTTTTTTAATTATTATTAATTATTAAAATGCCGAGCTAAATAGCAGACGACATTATAATAAAACCGTTCATCCTGTTAAAAACAAAAAATGATTAAAATTTGCCGTTTTAAAAAGTACAATTTTAAACGTACGATTCATTAAGCAAAAATAATCTTAATAGCGTTATATGCTTCGTTCTTTTCTTTTTTTTGCTTTTTTTTTGTTTCTTCCTCTTCTTCTTTCTTCTTTCTTCTTCTTCTTCTTTTTCTTTTTCTTCTTCTTATTATTATTATTCTTGTTATTATTATTATTATTATTATTATTATTATTATTATTATTATATTATTATTATTATTATTATTATTATTATTATTATTGTTATCCTTATTCTTTTTAATAATTAATCAAACATCAACCGCAACGCGACTTAGGCGACGAATACCGAGATAGGAAGAGAAAAATTTGAGAAGTATCCAAGGGAATGAAATACTTTTGATAAAAGTATTTCATATCCAATGTTCGACAGAAATATCTCTTCGCAAATCTAAACACTGAAACCGATGGTTGTCATCTAAACTATATTATACGCTTAGACAACTAATGACTAACTTACACTTATGATTAGTATATTATACCGAATGGTAAAAATCACAATGCAATTTGTGTCACGATAAACATTACACTTTTGGAATTAAAATTCGAGTTAACGATTCTTTTGCGCTCTTCATCAAGACCATTCCTTTTCGGGGCCGAATACACAACGAGATTTTTCAATTAACGCGTCATATAACGTATTTACAAAGTTATCCGAGGAAGCGTTAAATTAAATTTGAAAAATATTTTATCGAATATCGTGTAATAATTATCTTCTTTCTTTTTTTGTTTTTTTTTTTCCTTTTTTTCTTTTGTCTTTTTTCTTTTTTTCTTTCCTTTCCTTTTGTCTTCTTCTTTCCGTTTCGGATTTTCGAACGAGTATGTAGAAAAAACGTAAGGAGGAGAAGAATATAATATATACGCTCGAAGGAAGAACATGCCAAGCCGGTGCTAAACGAAAACTCTCTTCTCTCGATGGCCTTGGAAAAATGTAAAAGTTGTAATATGCCAACTTGATTATCAACTATTTCAATATGGCGCTGGTATGAAAAATGAGCCACGGGCTTCGCAATTCGAGTTATTTTTAATACTGGCAAATATTTCTAGCGCGCGAAAACTCACTCCTAATGGCTGAATAGTAACAATTCCACGGCTAATAAATATTCGAACTTTGGACGTTCGGTCTGGACAAAAGTTCGATTACCATCATATAAAATTGTGTAAATGTATAAAAGTGCGGATCGAATATTGCTACAACTTTTGTCCACACCGTACTTGAATTCATCCCGAGCATTACTACCACGTTTCATCATCATCTATACGTTCTCGTATCTCGATAATCAATTTTGTTAATTGGTTACGTTCTTCTCTCGCTTTCTTTTTTTCTTTTTTTTTTTTTTTCTTTTTCCAACATTTCCATCAAGCTTCGAATAATAATTTGATTTTCGACGATAGCCTGGTAATTTCGATAAAAATTCAAGTTTTTCGTCGGGACGAAATCTTTTTTTTCCTTTTTCTTTTTTTCTTTTTGTTCTTTTTTTGTTTCAAAGGACGCGAACGCGTCGTAGCTCCTTTCGTTTCATCGTTTATTTTTTCTTCTTTTTCTTTTTTTTTTTTTTTTCCTTTTTGTTCTTAAATGAGAATTTATCTATTACCTCTAGTCTCTCTCTCGCGTTTCTCGAAAGGAAGAAAGAAAGGATCAATTCTACGTTGGATATAAATCAATTCGTGGCGCGCACACCTTTGCGAGCCCTCGATCGTAGCACGAAACTCTCACCTCGATGATACCTTATTCGAGAAGATAATAAATAATAATAAATTGATGATTTCCTTAACGATGATACCTCTAATGAATCGTACTGTTAGAAAGATATTTAGGCTACGATTAATAGAGTTATTAGAGATTTTAGCCGAGTGAATCGACGGCAATTGTGCTGAGGCCCTTCGGACTGATGGTCGTTTTAAATTGTTCCGGAACAGGATACTCCGTCTGCAAAATAAATCGATAAAGTAATGTAATTAAAACGTAAAAAAAAAATATATATATATATATATTCTTTATTAATGACGATCCTTACGTAATCTCCATTCCCTTTCGGCACCATGACATTCATTTCGCTAGACTTGCTAGTTATGAGCTCGACATCCAATGATTCCGAATTGAGATACATTTGACAGCCGTCCGTCTTGTCGATCGAAATAGTTGGCACCTTTCCGAGTACCTGCGAAAAAAAAGAGGAGGGAGGGGGGGCGAAATAAATAAATAAAAGGAAAAAACAGAATGATAAAATGTTCCAAATGAACTCTGCTCATCCGTTCATCGTCGGTTTCGTATGAATTCGATCATAGAACAAAAGCAAAGCGCTTCTGGTTGTCTATTTATTTGGTTCTTGTCATGCTTTAGAATCTGACATGAGTATAAATATCTAATATTCAATATAATCTTGTGGAACAGAGTGTCCAACAATAGAACGGGATATCAAGTTTAATGTCACGAGTATTATCGACATCAATATGCGGTGGCAGCTTGGTAAGTATTAAATGAAAACGAAATAAAAATAAAATTTAACCTACGGCACATTTGGATTTCCATCAAGGTGGTAATTTAGAACCTGTGAGAATAATTTGCGAGACCAATTGGAGACAATGTATACGAGCCATCTTGAGATACATGTGGACGGAAATTGTGACAGACGTGGTCGATTGTTTAACTACAGAATCAATATTGTGGAGGGTATAACTATAATTTCGATCTAATCAATATTCAATATTTTAATATAAACATTTTGTTTGACGTCTATTAAAGATCATTGCCATCTGCCTCATTTGCATCATGCTACTACGTATATTTTATGTCAAAAGAAAATGGATAAATAGGGCTACTCCTAGCAAATACATTCTCAGCAGAGTCGGTTGTAAGGTCGACGACCTTGAATTAAAAATCAATATACTGACGTACAAGTTACAGTACGGAACATGGCCGCTTCCTCACCAAATTCAAAATGCCGCTTTAAAAAAGCAACATCGTAATCTCAGACTGACGTTATCAACTTCGAGCGATCGTAAAGATTGGATCAAACGTATTTTGCTCGGGTAAAAAAATTTTACCAATCGAACGACGTAGAATCTTTTTCTTTTCTTTTTCTTTTTTTCTTTTCTCTCTTCTTTCCAATTAATACTCTCCATATTCAGTTCGACATCCAACGCTTATCTGTCACCTTCCAAATTGGACCCTATCTCTGTACATCGTATGAACGAATTGCTCGACACGAAAACGGAATATTTTTCATCCGAAAATCAACAACAAGGCGTATCTCCGAGCGATCAAAGTGATATAAAATCTTCGAGAACTACCAGTGTTGAATCTATAATAAAGTAAGTCGAAAGGAATTATCGTACGGCAAATAGTAGTAAAAAGAGGATCTACTATAGAAAAACTAATCTGGAGGGTGTCCATCGACGTGGACTTTCAAAGAGTGAAAATCTAGAAGAGTCACGTAGTTGCATTACGAGGCAACTTTCTTTATTACCAAGAAAGGACAGCGATTATTCTTGGAAGAAAATACGAAAGCAAAAACGTCCGAGACTTTCTACGTCACGATCGAAAATCATTGGTTGCGACAAATACACCGATAGTATCGTAGACTGTAAAAGATTTTTAAGAGATCTTAAGGAGAGTAACAAGAGACTCGAATTCAATTGCAGTTCCTCGGCTATCACCAATGACTCTTCCTCGTTTCGAGATTCTTGGACCGACGAAAAGGTAATTTCTATTCGATAATATAAAATAATAATTTATGCGAGACAAGCAGAATAATCGTATTATTTCTGCTGACGTTACATTCTGTTTGTTAAAGTCATCTTTGCACGCTCAAACAACAGATGCGAGGAATGCAAGCAGGAGATGCAAAATCATTGGAGAAGTAAAAGGAACGCTCGTGAAAGTAGAACGCGAGAAAAAGGATCCGAATACGTGCATGGATATATCTAACGGTATACAAATTGAGAGGATCAAGAGCAACGGTT